AATCTCTGATATGAAGTTATTGATCTCAAATATGAGTTTGTAGGTATCAAATTTGAGATGGTGGTTTAACGGTAAAAACAGTAGTTGTTGGCCGACGGTGAGGATGAGCGACACTGATAGACGATAAAGATGGTGGAGACGATGAACATCCATCGAGTTGGTGAAGAGAGAGAGAGATAGAGAGAAACAGAGAGAGAGAAAGAGAGAGTGTTGTAAAAGAAATAGAAGAAAGAGAGGGTATAATGGTCAAATAAAATATTCAAATAACAAATTTTGTCCTTTATATAGAATTTTATAATTATAAGGAGGTTTGAAAGTACTAATTTTTTTTTCTGTCTTTTTAACAAGAAAAGGAAGCTAAGAGGGGTTTATGGCCAAATTTTTCTTGTTAGTAACTTACAAATTTAGAAATAAATTTTTCATTTATGAGAGGCAAAATGGCAAAAAATTAATATAAATATTATGTATCTTATTTATGAATAAGATAAATGATAAATACACTACTTTAGATTTATTTAAAATACGATTTGTCTCTAAGATTTTAAAATTTACAAATATTTCATTGTTAGAATTTTTTATTTAACAATATTAATAGAAAAAAGGAAATTTCTAACTACTCTCTTATATAATAATAAAATTACCTGAATTGTTAATTGAAATATATTTATAATATCATTAAAAATAGTTAATTGACTTGATAATTTGTTAATAAAATAAGTTATTTACTATGCAATTAAAAATTGAAGGGATAGAATGTAATTTCTTTTAAGCAAAATTCACAAGATGTATTTTTTATTTATCCTTATAAATAATATATATTTTTTTTATTTTTTGCATAGGTCATATGCTAATTTTTAAATATATATTTTATATTCCGCTCGACTTACGGTTAGATTGCAAGTTGACCTTCTTGTCTACAAAACTCAAAACGCTAGTGCTTATTGTTTTAGAGAAAATATTTTAAAATTTTAATTCACGTAAAAAAAAAAATTATTAACAATTTGTTAATCGTATGAATGAAAAAATAATATTATCAATATTTTTTAAAATAAAATATATTAACTTTTGTTTATTTCAATATCTATTCACCATCTACATTAGCTTCGATTCTTTAATTTTACTAAAAAAACATATCAATATAATTACATCAAAAATGTAAAACTATTATCAAAATCTCAACAAATGTAAATGTAATTTATCCTTAATTTTTATAATTAGGTCATACTCGTAATATTTCTTGTTAAAAAAAGAAGAAAAAATACTCGTAATATCACTGTTGGAAAACAGACTTTTAGTGGCGTTTAAAAAGCACCGCTATAAGTGCCAAAAACGCCGCAAATTCCTTTTGCGACGCTTAGCACCAAACGTCGAGGACGTGACCGTCGCTATAGCTTTGTGGCGTTTTAAAAACGTCGTGATATTAGTATAGGAGGTGTTTTTAAAAACGCCACCAAATGTCCTAAATAACAGTACCATGACGTCACTGTGATATTTAGCGACGTTTTTAAAACCCCATCATATTTTTTTAAAAAAATATGACCGCTAGATTTAGGATTTAAGTGGCGTTTTGAAAAACGCCGTGATATCCTTTTTCATTTTTTTTTTTTTTTGAAATTGTGCTAATTTTAAACCCATCAAGAAGTATTCAGAGATTCTGAGACAGTTTTCAAACTGCTCTGCAAAAGAAAAATATTATTGTAAATGCTTATAGTATGGTAATTTTAAAGAACTCAGTTGAACAAAAGCTAGTGTAAAAAGAAATTGTTGGAGTTCCTACTAATACATCCAAATGCACAATTCATGTAGTCAAGTAGTCTAAGAGAATACAACAATGAAAGCTTTCCATAAAAAGCAATCTATCTTCTGAAGCGATGCTCATCACGTGCAACCATTCCACGCATGCCAGCCTGAATAGAAACAGCAGAGGAGCACAATTTTTTATAAGCTTTCCTGGCAAGATGCATATGAAAATCTCTCTGAATTCTCAGACAAGAAGCTTCTCTCCTAATGTTCTCGTAAACTTCCCGAGCAAGTTGTCCTGTAATCAGCACAAGGAAAAAATCATTGAGTTATATACTTTCAAGACCTCAGCAGTGAGCTAATTAAAGAAGTTCAGCTGAAAAGACACATCTAACACAATTAAGTATCTCTACACACATATTGAATCCGACCAATAAAGAATCTTTGCATCTTATAATTTGTAATTTGCAAAGGGTACCAGACCAATAAAGAATTGACTCAAAAAGGAAAAGAAAACACAAATAATAGAATTCCCCTTTACATCCTATGTCCTAATTATCAGTCTATGGAGAGGAAAGAGGAAGGCAAATAGAAGTTACTCCACAAGACTACCTCTGCTCTAGAAAGGTAGAACATAGAAAACGAAACTGACTTTAAATTTATATCTGATAAGCCAATCAATACGTGTTCATTTAGAATATACACAAAATAGGTTGTTATTCTGGCATCATGCAGTTGAATTTGCTGTGATATAATCATATAACATACACAAAATAGGTTCAGAACAACAGCCGAGCAAATCTGAATGCCATTCATCATCCCAATTTGAACCTCTAGCAGATAGCAGATCACGTCCAGATGATACCGAGGAAGTGTTTCTGCAAATAATTTAGACAGAATTCTCGTATCAGGCAACTGAGTTACGAATTCAAGCAATCTACTAGTTAAAATTTGTTGATGATTCAATATAGGGAAAAAATATAGTAAAAAAATATGGTGGTCATTGTACAAGGAGAAATAGAGGGAAAAAATATAGTAAAAAAAAAGGCTAGCATGAACATATATCATGACTGGCTAGTCATATATCACCGCAAAGGTTAAAGGACAATAAACTAATTATTCTTACCAACACTATATATAGAGAGGGTGTATCCAATGGCAAAGAGATAGTATAACAGTACTTAATAGGTTACCTCCTATCACCGAAAGTGTGCATTGCATACTAGCAAAACAAATCACAGTTACTAAGAAAAAAAAATGTCCAGTATGAGCAAATCAATACTATTACTGAATCAAATTCTATTACAATCAAAGAAATTGAAAAAAATAAGATGATACCGAGGAAGTGTTTCTGCAAAGAATTTAGACAGAATTCTCGTATCAGGCAACTGAGTTACGAATTCAAGCAATCTACTAGTTAAAATTTGTTAATGATTCAATATAGGGAAAAAATATAGTAAAAAAATATGGTGGTCATTGTACAAGGAGAAATAGAGGGGAAAAATATAGTAAAAAAAAAGGCTACCATGAACATATATCATGACTGGCTAGTCATATATCACCGCAAAGGTTAAAGGACAATAAACTAATTATTCTTACCAACACTATATATAGAGAGGGTGTATCCAATGGCAAAGAGATAGTATAACAGTACTTAATAGGTTACCTCCTATCACCGAAAGTGTGCATTGCATACTAGCAAAACAAGTCACAGCTACTAAGAAAAAAAATGTCCAGTATGAGCATATTCACAATATGTAAACAGTGTACAAAATACAAAGAGTGGACCAAGGCAAAATTATTTAGATTTTGGAGGAGCCAAAGTAAAATTACATAGATTTTGATTGTTTAGAGGACTCCTTAGATGAAAGTGGAAACAAACCCGACACAAAGGAACATTTGGAAGCACTCAAGAGTGCTTGATGTTCATCAATAACATAATCTTTGTTTTTGTCCAGAAAAAAATTCAGTTTGATAGGTGACCTGAAAAATAAATTGAAGTGCAGGTTAATGTTTTTTGTTTCAAAAGTGTATATTATGGAGCTGAATGAACTATTAAATAAATACATAAAAGAATAGAAACTTGCATCACCAGCATAATGGCAAACCAACAGATAAGCCTACTGCAGGTGAAAGATGTGATGTTCCAAAGATAAAAAAATTTAAAACCAGGTATTAAAAGTCATGATGTGCTGTTATGTTATCTGAAGAGAAGCCAATTTCAAGAATAAAAATTCAAGTTGAGGTAAGAGTAATTAGAAAAAGACAGCTAGTTCAGTTTGCTTCCATGAATTTTATTTTCCTAAAGTTCCAATAAGCAATACAACATCATACACAAGATTCAGAATTCAGATTTCTTTTGACTTCTGAAAGGATCTGAATTTGCCACCACGAAATCAACAACCCTACCAAATTGTGAAGTCCAATCAAGTTTAGGTTTAGTAACCGAACATCAATAATTCTTAAGATAAAATATAACCTTTTCAAAAAAAAAAAATCAAGATATTTAAATTGCATGGATGAATTTGTCTGGCATAAAAAAAAGGGGGCATAGGAAGTTGACTATGTTAGTAGAGTAAAATAATTGTGTTCGAGAAGTCAATTAGATTTTTTTATAATTGAATATAATATTTATGAGAGCAAAAATTAAATTATTGTGAGTTTGATGTGATATTTTGTCTTTTTGACAATTTTATTCTATTTTGTCTTTTAGTACTATTTTAACCCAAAAAGCCTCTTCCCAAACACACCCAATATTGTTTAGTTAAGGCTTCCCTTTGAGAGTTAATGAAAAACTAGTTCCTTCATTAAAAATAAACCTAAATAATTTCTAAAGAACAGGTTGTGCTTAATTTGATTATAGAGTAATGAGAACCAAATCTTTGAAAAAAAAAAAACAAAAAGAAAAAAGCATATGAAGATCAATGATAATATGCATTTTTTCAACGCAACCATATCATCACATCCCATTGTCATGATAGAATGAAATGATTTCAGATTTGGATTAAGATACAGGACAAATTACATATTAATAGGGAGTGAAGTAATAATTACAAATTTATAGAGATATAAGTGGGTAAATGTGTTTCATACCATAATTTTTATAAATTTATAATTTTTCTCATTTTCCACTGACTTTTAATTTCTTACGTTTAGATCTAAGATTAATTTCTTTTGCACACTTCTGCTACTAAGGGGACAAAGAATGATCATGGTGTCTAAAATTTCAACGCAACCAGAAAAATGGACTGCCGAAAAAATAAAGACAAAAAATGAATGAAAATAATTGATAAGAAATAAAACTAAAGCAAGGAAGGATGGAACTCTTAACATAATGCTGGAAACAAACTTACGTAGAATTCTTGTTGAAGGAAGCATGTATAAAAGCCCAAATTGGATGTGATACCGCGTCCTTGAGATGAGAGAGATTGATTGATAGAGATAGGTTTTAGTATCTTTCTTTGATAAAAGCATACTCCTTCTAGACAAGTGAATACCTAATAAGTAGGAAGAATAAAAGATAATAAGTCAAATTCGAACAAGAATCCTTGGAAGGTACCTGAACAACTATAGAAACAAGAGAAAGAAAAGGAAAATGGAAAAATAAAAAAGGGCCACTTTGCGCACAATTCCTTTCTACCATCAAACCATATGATTGCTCCAATTGCTACAAAGTTTCAAGCATACTAAACAAGAACACATATGTAGCTGGAGTCCAGTGTCTAGAATTTGGTTTGTTTTGGTTCTTTTGATAAGTGAATTTGGGGTAATGTCACTTCTGACACTTCTATTGGAATATGAACTTCTATTCATGCCCACATATCAGTGCAATCAGACCACAACTAAAATTCTAAAAGAACAAAGAATCACATACACCCTTAAACTTTAGAGTGTGTCTGGACACCAAGCATAAGTGAGAAAGACATATGTTCCAGATAAACAAGGAAAAGAAAATTGAACGTAACAGTTGTCATCTAACTTTAAGAAAAAATATACTTAACACCTAAAATATCAAAATCATGTTATACAATAAAGATTCTTCTCCACAAAACAACAATGGAAAATTATCCTTCACATTGATGACAAATGAACATGTTCATCATATTCAAGAAAATATCTAATGATATGGATATTGATGGTATAGGTAACTGATAAAACCAAACTAGGGTTCTACTCACCTTTTCTTGCTGGAGACCGTCCGTCGGAATTTGCTGGGGCGAGGAAGTGAGAGAAAATAAGAGAGGAACTGTGGAAAAATGAAGGAAAATGAGAGAGCCAAAAAATTACTTTTAGACCAATAAATTACTCATTTTATCACAATATGTAATAACTAAATCACAATTAATACTCAAATATGCCATAACCATACATATTTCAGGCATAACTAAAGATATCTCCAGTGTAGGCATGTGGGGTAAAAAATCATTGCCCACAAAGAAACACATGAAGATGAAGTCATCAACAATGCACTCAAAATCAAACTCAAAAGGCAGATTAGGAATCCTCATTTCATATTCTAAATACTCTCTACGAGTCCAAATGTTGAGAAACTGCAAAATGAAAACAACTTAAGGAAACAGTAACTAAAACAGCCCAATGAAAAGAAATACGTACCTATTACTTTTCAATGGGAATCAAAACATACCTGATAAGGCTTTTTGGGCACGACATTAGCATCACCTTTCTCATCAAAATCCCCAGCCTTTCTCTTTGCCTTACCTTCGCAGTCTGCTGCTAAATGACCTAATCTTGTTGTCCAGGGGTAAATACGACCTGACAAGTAAATTATGAAAATAGACTCAGAAAATCAAACCAAACATGGCATTTATTTCTCATTTCCCTACCTAACCATTTTCCCAACTTAAACAATCATGCAAATTTGAACCAAAAATGTTAGTCAAGAGTCTTCAAAAAAATGAATTATTTTATCGTAATACACTAACCTCCCTGCGTATTGCAAAATGGACTTCATGGGTAGCCAAAGCCAACATGATTATATCAGCATCCTGTTATGTGGCAACATGTTAAAATTCCAATAAGAACATTGCAATAACACTAAAGAACAGCAAAATAGAAAGAAATTTATAATAGATTCACAGATAGGATAGAGAAGACGTACCAAACCATACAAGCAATGGCGTGTGTTGGGTTCATACCTAGGAAGGTTCTTTGAAGACGAATATTCGACATAATTTTATGTTCCCCTTCACCAGGAACATTGGCATCAAAAAGAATAACCTTCAAAAGAATAGAATGATGAGCAAAACATAGAGCACTCGTCCTTCACCATGACACACTAAAGTGCAATGATATCAATTATTCGCAAGAGAAACCAAATAAGATTAGTGAAAACTATTATTCCTAAACACCAAATACCCAATACCCAACCTTAAGTACTCAGTAATTGTAATAACATGATACCTGTTATTCCTAAACACCGGCACCACTCCCGGCATCTCTGTTTCCATTTTTTCAATACAAAAACAATTTGAGAGTCATGAATATGAATTAATCACTTGATATATATATATATATCCAATGCAACAAGTGGAGTATGAATCCAGCCAGCAACCTTAAAAAACAATTTAGTTTTCTTTATCCATGCTATCTCTAATTTCTAGTATTAAAAAATTAAAAATTTTAAAAATAAATTATAAAAATAGGAAGAATAAACATGATGGTACTAGGATTCTAGGGCATTTAACATTAAATAAACCAAGGCTAACTCATTTGTTGCTTAGAGTCAACATAAGAGTAAACGAGCAGATAACTAACATAGGTGCACATACATGTTACTAGTTTAAGAGAATGAAACAAGAAATTAGTACTTTGATTTTGTTTGATGCTCAAATCCATCCAGTTGATTGAGAAGCTCCAGCATCGTCCCCTGTACTTCACTATCACCATTACCAGATCCAGATTCCATTCAAGCAAATCCAATGCTGTCGATTTCATCCATAAAGATGATTGATGGAGCATGCTCCTTGTGCAACATAAACAAAAATAAATCACACATAAAACATGTAAGAGGAACTATATAACACTTCTGTAGACTAAAAAGATTTATTAACCTGATATACAAGATATTATAATTTTTTTGCAATAACAATGTTATCAATGAAGTCGGACAAACCTGGCCATAAAAAAAAGTTCTCTAACCATTCGAAAGCCCTCACCAATATACTTCTGAACCAACTCAGAACCAGAAACCCTTATAAAGGTACAATCAGTATGAGATCTAGAGAGAGAGAGAGAGAGAGAGAGAGACGGTGGAGCTCACTACCTTGCCGGTGCAAATGACGGTGGCGATGGAGCTTCGAAATCGCTCTGAATCTCGAAATCGATCTGAATCTTCGAAATCGCTCGAAACAGCCGATTGATATCGATCTGAATCTTCGAAATCGCTCGAAACAGCCGATTGATATCGATCTGAATCTTCGAAATCGCTCGAAACAGCCGATTGATATCGATCTGAATCTTCGAAATCGCTCGAAACAGCCGATTGATATCGATCTGAATCTTCGAAATCGCTCGAAACAGCCGATTGATATCGATCTGAATCTTCGAAATCGCTCGAAACAGCCGATTGATATCGATCTGAATCTTCGAAATCGCTCGAAACAGCCGATTGATATCGATCTGAATCTTCGAAATCGCTCGAAACAGCCGATTGATATCGATCTGAATCTTCGAAATCGCTCGAAACAGCCGATTGATATCGATCTGAATCTTCGAAATCGCTCGAAACAGCCGATTGATATCGATCTGAATCTTCGAAATCGCTCGAAACAGCCGATTGATATCGATCTGAATCTTCGAAATCGCTCGAAACAGCCGATTGATATCGATCTGAATCTTCGAAATCGCTCGAAACAGCCGATTGATATCGATCTGAATCTTCGAAATCGCTCGAAACAGCCGATTGATATCGATCTGAATCTTCGAAATCGCTCGAAACAGCCGATTGATATCGATCTGAATCTTCGAAATCGCTCGAAACAGCCGATTGATATCGATCTGAATCTTCGAAATCGCTCGAAACAGCCGATTGATATCGATCTGAATCTTCGAAATCGCTCGAAACAGCCGATTGATATCGATCTGAATCTTCGAAATCGCTCGAAACAGCCGATTGATATCGATCTGAATCTTCGAAATCGCTCGAAACAGCCGATTGATATCGATCTGAATCTTCGAAATCGCTCGAAACAGCCGATTGATATCGATCTGAATCTTCGAAATCGATCTGAATCTTCGAAATCACTCTGAACAGCCGATGGAGCTTGTGTTCTTTGAAGCTCTCTTCAAGAATAGCCGATTGATCTTTCGAGAGACGAAGCCTCTTCCTAGAGTTATCAATAATCGCTGAGAGACAGAGAAAGAGGTGTGTGTATATATAATGGTTGAGAGAGAGAAAGGGCTCAGATTCAAAATAAGGGTTTCACAAAGAAGGATCAACACGTGATCCTACCGCATTTGGAGGCAGTTTTAAATGCCTTCAATTATAAAACGGTGTCGTTTTGGTTAAACAATATGCGATGTTTATAAAAACGCCATTAAAAATTAAGAAAGGTGACATTTAAAAAAACGTCGTTAAAAGAACGCCATTAAAACCTATTTTTCCTGTAGTGGATGAAATGAGATTCACATATGGCATCAGTTTTGGAGGTTTGTTAGTTTTGGAAAGGTTATTGATCTGTTGGGAGCTGGGAGTTGCTGGGAGTTGGGCTGTTCTGCTTGGGTCTGATGTGGGTGACTCTGAACAGTTGCTATTATCAGTTTGTCTACTATCAGTTTGTTTGTCTGCTTTTATCTTTCAGTTTGATGCTTTTATTTTTTCTTCAGCTTTCTCTTGTTGGTGCCTCACCAACTGGCGCTTGGAGCTTCTTCTTAGTTCTAAGCTCCTCTTTATTGATGTAAATTTTCATACTTTGTATGTTTCATCAATAAAGATTTTGCTTTAGCCGATCAAAAAAAAATGACATTTTTCATCAAACACCATTAAAAAAAGTCATGAATTGTTAATTTTCAGTGATAGTTTGAAAATTTTATCACAAAAAATATCACTAATTATAAATTTTACTGAAGTTTAAAAAAATTGTCACAAAAATGTCACTAGTTTTTAACTTTCAACAACAATTGAAAATATTCGTCATAGAAGAATATCACTAATTATAAGTTTTAGCGATAATTTATAAAAATAAAAAAAAATTCACTAATTGTCAATTTTTAATGATATGCAAAAATTGTCATAAAAAAATATTTTTAACGACGATTTTACTACGACTAACTTTTAATAGGACTTAATGGAAATTAAGATTATGTTCGATTGGGGGTTTAGGAGGGCAGATTGGATTACCAATCCATGGTACCCACCAAACCCTTGTTTGGATATAACAAAATGTCATAGGATTAGTAGTATAAGGGGCTTAGCAATCCCCCTCTGTGAGGGGGATTAGCTTGAGTGCATTTTAGGTGGAATTAGGAAAATAGTGAGGGGATTGAGATTATTTTATATAATTTTTTTTATTTTTTACCAAGTGCACCTATTTGTTTTATTTTTTTAATATAGAAATAATTTATTTATTTATTTTATATAAAAATAATTTAATAATCTCATCACTAATCATCTCTCACACTATTATCAAAATAAACACACTTTTATTTAATTCCCTTACTAATAATCCACACATTAACAATCTTTTCACTAACAATTTTCTCACTAATAATCCCATCTAACTTAATCCGCCAAACCAACGTGCCCTAAATTTAACTATTAGGATCTAATGGTGATTCCATGTAAAAGGATTATGACATACATTGTATATTTCAAAGATTAATTAAATCGATTAGTGGACACTGATTGATGTGTCAAAATAAAAACAAGATTCAGATCATTAGAAAAGAAGCCACAAAAAATTTGAAGTAATTTGAGAGGAAACTGAGAGAGAGAGAGAGAGCAATGGTGGAGCTCACCTTAGTGAAATCAAAATCGTCGGTTCAGATGGTGGTGGCGATGGAGCTTCGAAATCGCTTTGAAATCACTAAATCTCTGAATCTCTACAAATGAGGATCAAGTAAGAATGCCTTAAAACATTGATTTCATAGATCTAGAGAGAGAGAGAGAGAGAGAGAGAGAGAGAGAGAGAGAATGGAGCTCACTACCTCCCCAGTGCAGATGGTGGTGGCAATGGAGCTTCGAAATTGCTCTAAATCTCAAAATTGTTCTAAGAATGATAAGGGTTTAGAGAAGGTTGAGAG